ACATTCTGATGCACATTCTGATAAAGACTTATTAAAATCAATATTCAATTTTTATGTAAATGTTTCAGGTGTAATGATGGCAGTGGATGTTATAGTGGATGGATTGAAAGCTATCTCTAAACCAGTCACAACCCCAGAAGAAATTGCCCAGGTACAGACAAGTTAAACATTTGTTGTGCGCTGCATTAAACACGACTTGTGTTTCTCATTTGATTTCTGACAGAATTAATATTTTGCACTTTATGCAAGATCGTCAGTGTTACATTAACATGTATATATTAATTTTTATCCTGTCAGTCTTCTGTACTTTTACACTGTCTTGACCAGATAAAGGGTCAAGTCATATTTTGTCTATTTCTACATTTTAGGTTGCAACAATTTCGGCCAATGGTGACGAAGAAATTGGTAATTTGATCTCGCAAGCAATGAAGAAAGTTGGTAAAGATGGTGTGATTACGGTCAAGGATGGCAAGACTTTACACGATGAGTTGGAAATTATTGAGGGTATGAAATTTGATAGGGGATATATTTCACCATATTTCATCAATACGGCTAAAGGTGAGATTTCCAAACTTTTTTTCCTTGTCTTCAATTTTGTGGGATACATTTTCTAAGGAATGGGGAAAAAAAATGTATAAGCATCACAAAGTCATTAGAACTATTCGAAATGCATTTCAATATTCTATGGATGTCACCTTGCCAATTTCTGGAGTTGTTTAATAGCACTGTAATAAAGGAAAAGTCTGAAGAAGCAAAAAAAAAAATGGATTTCTGCTCTACCTCATTGTAGAGGTACTTTACACAAATATAGTTGAGAAACAGCTTTTTAGTTTCTAAACTGATAAATATTGCTTGCACATTTGTTTTAGCAATTTAAAACAGATTGTTAGAACCTTGATGCCATTTTTGAATACTGATGCAGTTGGATTATGGGTAAACTTGGTGCCAACATCGATGAAAACAATTGAACTTAATGTTTATCATGACGTGTGCGTCTTTGCAAAGTTTTTTTCATTCTGCTTTGAAAAGTGGTTTATATGGCAGTAAGACAGTAACCTACTTGTTTTAAAAGAAAAATTATATTTTCCTCTGCAGGGCAGAAAATTGAATTCCAAGATGCACTTTTACTTCTGTGTGAAAAGAAAATTTCCAGTATACAACAAATAGTTCCAGCATTAGAATTGGCAAATACACAAAGAAAACCACTAGTTATTATTGCTGAAGATATTGATGGTGAGGCTTTGAGTACATTAGTTCTTAACAGGTAAGAAAAAACACGAATTTATTAGTTGCCCATGTCATTGCTTCAATACTCGATTTCCTGCAAGTCTCACTATCTAGCTATGAATCATTCCTCTGATGTTTTTAAGTGTATTTGAATTACATGGCTGACACCAGTCTACCTCGCCATCTGAGAAGAGCTTGTGTTACAGGCTGCTTACTAGAACATATCCTGTTTTGGTAAGACGTGCTCTGATTGGTTGACACTGCCCATCAGAGGAGAGTTGCATATTAGTGAGATGCGTGCATTCTGACTTCTCCCGGGAAGTTTGTGTTAACACACCAACACTTCTGCAGAAAGTCGCAAGGGTTTCTGGGATATCTTTGTAAAATT